CAGAGCTGAATTACTCCATTATATTGGATCAAGAGAAGCATCTCTCTGTCCGAGAGTGGCGGGTACAAGCAGCGCTATTTTGTACTCACTGCAACTGGTGTACTTGATCGCCTGCACTGCTGACACCTACAGAAACCCAACACCCGCACACCTGCAAGGTTCCCCCCACCCCTATTGCATTTCTTTGCAGAAAGAGGACCCAAGAAAAACCAGCACCAGGGAGCAAAGTCCAAGTCAAACTCAGGCTGAGTGAGAAAAGCAAATCTCCCCTCGGCCTCCCTTCCAGGAGGCAAATAATGAGCCTCCCCGGAGAGCCGCCCGTGGGCTGAGCGACCTCCCCAGCACCGCACTGTGTCCTCCAGCAAACAGAGCAGCGAGGCAGCGAGCAGCTCCAGGCCAGCTGGTATGCTCAGCACTTTCCAGCAGCTTTTATGTAAAGAGCCCGAGTTCATTAAACTGCTGGCCGGTGTGTTATTGCCAAGGCTACAGCACAGACCCTGAGCAATCCCCCAGCTCCTGCTCAGCCCCGGCCAGCCCCAGCAAGAAGCTTTCCCGGAGCGCAGACGCTGCACTGCTGGAGCAGGACAAGCACCATGCCAGCACAGACGTGAGCAGGGTCCTCTGCAGCAAAACCACCGGTCACCAACCTGCGGATGCTCCAGCGGCGAGGCTGAGACCCCGCACCCTGGATGCTGCTCTGAGGGGTGGGCGAGAAGGGAAACTAAGGATGAGGCCAGTGCCTTAAATAAGTGCCTTACATTGCAAAGCGGGCATCTGGGTTATTTCAGGGCCTGCCTCCTTTCTCATACAATATACACCCTTAAGAAAAAAAAAAAAAAAAACCAGCATGTAATAAAAGCAACAGCTGATGCTACAGAGGATGAGCTGCCCCCTCACTTATTTCAATGCAAAGGTGTGTGGGTGGAGAAGCGTGGAGTCGGAGTCGCTCTTAGATGCTTAAAGAGCAATCCAAGCCTCGATAGTTTTGCAAACCTCCTCTCCCCTTCCCCCCCCGTGTCCTCAAAGAGCACAGCTCGCTGTTTTTAAAGTTACTGCTCAGGATGTGGGAAGGAAGAGTGCGAGGCGGGTTGTTTTTCAGGCCGAGCGTGCGTCCCTGCACCGTCCTCCCAGGTGCCAGCACTGCTGCGGCCCCGCTGGAGCACGAGCCAGAGCCACTCGTCAGGGACGGGCAAGACAGAGACGCGTTGGCTGCGTGGCCTTGGGGACACCTGGGATCCTCCCTCAACCCCAGCCGAGCTATCAGGCTGGATGAGTCCTCTGCAAGCGGGCTAGGGATGGTGCCAGCGGGGAGCATGGCATCACCCTCTGCCCCAGGGCACAGCCTGGCTGCCAGCTCCCCTCCCAGCAGGGACACGCTGCTCCTCCTTGCTATTTTTTTTAACGCACAGGTTTAAAAATGAGAGGTAACAGCATTGCTGTAAGGGGGGGAATGCAGAAACAGAAGAGTCCTCCGAGGCAGAAGCAAATTCCCCCCTTCCTCCGCTCATTTTCCATTCGTGCTGCTGAGAGGTGACATCCCCCTTTGTGGATAAGATGCTCTGGCAGCACCGCAGAGAGGCAGCCCCTCCACCTGACACCCGGGGCCTCCCGCGGTCCCTGCCCTCCTGCCTGCTGTTTGCTTTTCAGGGTGTGAGAAGGAAGGGTGGGCACAGCCAGCCCTCACCTGAAGGAACAGGCACGTATTCACCCTGGAGGGTTTCTGCATGTTTTCACACGTGGCAGGACCGTTGCATACGCCACCGCAGTATTTGTCCACAGCCACAGTAACCTTTGCTCATGGTGCTCGCCACTTTTCGCCTGCGGCTGTCCGATGCTGGCCAGGGAACGAGTTGCACGCTGGCGGTGCGGGCCAGTGGTCGGGCTGGCCCCGTGCTCCTTTGGGCCTCCTTGCTTGGGAACGCTTCTGACTCCCTTAACTCACCCATACCCCAGGCTCCTGCCATCACCCATAGCAGAGCATGGCTCAGCTCAACACCCCGTGCCCCAAGAGTGCAAGACTGCCTAGTTTCCCCTCCCAGCGGGGGTCAGACCTGCACGGAGGCACCCCGAGGAGCACCCACGAGTGCTGGGTGTGCCTCCCCAGAGGCAGCTGCACCTCAAACTGCTTTGCTGCCAGACACCAGTGCAGCCCACCCCTGCCCAACGCTCTTGTCCAGAGTTGCAGGGAAAGGGACAGCTCTGCTTTGACGGTCTGTCCATCTTTCTGAAGCTCCTTTGTGCTCTGTCAGGAAACACCGGGGCAGCTGGGAGCTATTCCTGGGGAGCCTAAAAATGCCGTGGCGAGTCAGTGCCGAGGCCTTGCCCTGCTGCTTGTGCCCACAAGGCCACTGCACGATTCCCCTAGCAAACCCCTGCCACTGCCTCGCTGCAGCACTGTGCCATGCCAGAATGCCGCGCTGCCGGTGGCCCCCTCGGAGGAGGCAGGCAGACAGGCAGAGACAGGCACGCACAGAGGCAGAGTCATGGAGAAGCAGCCCGGCTTCCCTGCTGCTCCGCCGGCCCAGACACGCATCAATGTCACGGCGAGGGCTGCGACAGCAGTCAGTTACCTCGCTTCCCAGCGCCGCAGGCTGGAGTGGCGCCAGCCCCCAGGGCTTTTGTTTCCATATCCGCACAGACCAGCACCGCAAGTGCAAGGGACAGTTTCAAAGCTGTCTCTGGTGGAGGACTCAGGTCCAAAGGCAGCATCGACACTGCCCTCTCCCACCCTCGTCCCATCGCTCACTCCCCTGTGTCCTGGGGCATGGGACAAACATGGCAAGTCTGGGACCACAACTCCTGAGCTTGTACCAAGTCGCACAAAGAGCAAATGCCCCACGAGCGCTGCCCTTGGCTGCGATCCCCCGCACAGGGACTGCCCACCCTCTCTGTATCTGCTTCCCCATGGCCGGGTGCCAGGGGCTGAGAGCTCCCAGCGGTTGTGTCCACTTTGACACAAAAAGCAGAAGAGCACAGGTCAGTGACTGTAAGTACCTGGCGTGCTGCTCTGCATTGGTTGCTGGTAGCCGGGACCAGGCTTTTTCCCATAATTGCACTGTAGCTTCGCAAGACAGGACAGTAATGACACTAGAACACACCTCAGCTTTCGAGCGCAGGACTCTACATTCCTGCAGGACAGATGTTCCCTTCAATTCATTACGTCTCTGATAAGTCATGCACTACCATTTCTTGCCTCCCTTGCCTGGAGCTCCGGTGGCTCTGGAAGACTTCAGCTGGCTCATTTTGTCCCGACAACACCCCAGGCACGCAGATGGGCAGCTGCCAGCTCCATGACCGGCTCCAGCGCAGAGCAAGCAGCCCAGCCCTGCCGCCCCAGCCCCGGGCGCCCGCTCAAGTCTCAGGCTGGCAGAGTCTGCAATACCAGCGACTGAGAGAGAGCAGCACTGCACTGGGCGATATACAAGAGTCTGGGTCCCAGAAAATTAAGAGTCAAAAGACCAGGGATTTCCATGAACAGTTTAAGAGCTGGGAATACCAAATTTTGGCTGTCTTTGGAATTCAGGCCTTCAAAGGGGACGCTTCAGAGCCATGAAAGCGTGTAGCCACCATTTTCCTTCCATCCTTCCCAGTCCACACTGGTCCTAGTTGTTAAGAGGATGGCTCCCAAGGACAACCTCACTAGAACTGACTGCCGACACGGCTATCGAAATCTCCCAGGGGCTGCAAAACCAACGAACCCACCTCTACCCACCCCTACCTCCTGGTTGGCTTTTGCCATTGCTCAGCTTTACCAGGACAGAACCGACCACGATATCACAGCTGTCCCTCGAGTCATTAAATACTAGAAACAAAAGTTGGAAAGTGCATTTTTCACTGCAGTTGCAGGTTTAAACTTCTCCAGAAGTCCACAAATGTTTGCAGCCTCCAGCTCCCAACTCATCTGAGCTCAATGGCCTGCAGCACCTTATAAAGCCTCTGGGATTTTGCTACCCCGACATTCACAGCTGGGCTCTCTGGCTGCACTCAGCACCGCATCCAAAAGCAGGCAGGAACAGTTCTCATCGCCCTCCCAGGCAGTTAGAGGTAAACGGCAGCCCCCGGGCTATGAGCCAAGCCAAGGGGCGAGCCAGCCAGCTGTCTCCCTTCTCTGGGACCCGAGAGCAAGCAGCACTCTCTCCAGTTGCTGCGAGGATGAGGTCACCCTCCCCTCAACGCTAAAAGCTCTGCTTGAAAAATTGCTGAGCTAGCAGAAACTGCCACTTCAGTTTTACCCATTTCCTGTTATTAGATAAAACAGCACCAGAGAGCTGAGCTCCTGCTAGCCTGGGCTTTTGCCACGTTACGGTTATCGCTACAGCCACTGCCTTCAGCAGGTGAATACTGGCACGTCTTGATTTCAACAGGAGCCAGGGCACAGCATGAATTATTTGTGGTAAGGCTGACCTATTTCACAGCAGAAAGACAGCATTCATTCCAGCCCAGATTCCCCAGAGGCTGCTCGTGTCACTTTACCCCACAAGAGAATACAACCCCGTCGCTATCTCTGGGCATCTCAGCTTGCAGGGGGTGCGGTGGTAACTGTCCTAGGCTGCTCCTGCCAGGCTCTCCATGTTTCTCTTGGAGGACAAGTGACAGCTCCACATCCCTTTCAACGCAACTGGCTTCTGTTGATCGGCTTTGATCAATGTTTTGTGACCACCATAGACAACACACACAGGAAGCGGAGCAGGATGAACCCACAGGGCCTTGAAACAGCAGAGAAGTCACTGCTGGCAGCCCCGTTTCAGGCAGACCAGGGCCAGAGGACGCGAGCAGTGTTTGCAGCATGGCTGCCAAGTTCTGCAGCTATTCAGGATGCCTCTCTGCACAGCTCCTTCTAAGCTCTTGTAGTCTCTAATATTGGCTCCCATCCTCTGTGCACAGGCCAAGGCAGCCTATAAAGGGGTATTTCACACGGAGAAGATGCTGAAGTCTTGGTGATACATTTCTCTAGACCATCTCAGAATCACAGATCTCCACCACATCTTTGTGGACCTTACCTTTGTCCGCCAGGGACAGCGTACTGTTGAAGTACTGCTCCTCCACGGTCCATGCTGTGTCATTGATCTTGTTAGACACCCCACAGGATCCAACGCAGCTCACCTTGATGGCTGTTGAGAGAAAGCACACACGTAAGCACCGGGAGAAAGCAAAACCTCAGGTTCAAACTTGCTTCAGGTGTTGTACATGGACTTGTGCAGGAGCAGTGCCTCATGAAAACACAGGGTGGAAAAATGGAGCAAAGGAATCGGGTCACGCTTTCATTTCAGAAGCACGTTTCCCCTTACGCTCAGCACTATTACACACTCCCTGCTACCCCAGTGCTCTTCCCAGCTGTTATCACCATTGAAGTCCTCGTGTTGGCCTCCTTGGACTGTGAAAGCCCTTAACAGCAGCGATATCAGCTCCCTGAGAGGTAACCCTCTCTAGTTTTCTCCCAAATGAACCAACTTCCCCTCCCAGCATGTGCATCAGCCCCTGCACTCAGGCTGACAGCAGAGACCTCTGTGGCAGCGATGCTCTCCTACAGGCTCGGGTGTCCCTGTCCTGACAGGGATGAGCAGCAGAAGGCTCTGCTGCCTCCCACCCCACAAGGAGCCAGACATCCCACCGGTCATCCCGCCAGCCCTGGGAGGAGAGATGTGTT